AACTGCAGGCGCGGTTTGCGCTAAGAATTGTGTAGTGTTTTGGGGTGATAACAAAACAAAAGTTGAGAAATAGAACGTGGCAATATACTCACAATATTCCTGCAAGATCAGGCTCCACCTTATCACCCTTCGGTTCGTTTGTCTTGCTTTGCTAAAATATTTTAATGATTGGTGATCTGTTTTCACTTTGAAAGGCTTTCCAAATAAATGTATGTGATATTTTTTTACTGCCCATACGAAAGCCAAACATTCTTTTTGAATAGTGGAAAAATTCTGCTTCGCACTATTCAGCTTCTTACTTGCAAAGAACACAGGGTGAAGAACTCCCTCTTTCACTTGCAGGAGTACTGCTCTTAGTGCCTTACTCAATGCATCAGTGCATAGCACAAACTTTTTCTGCGTGTTCGGCACCAACAGGAAGGGAGAGTGGAAAATTTCACGCTTTAACCTTTCAAATGCAATTTCATGCACCTCCTCCCATTTCACAACATTGTGCACACCCTTCCCGGTCAATTCGATGAGTGTCTCTGCTACTTCTGCATAATGGGGTGTGTATTCGGATAGAACCCTGTCAAGCCTAGAAAAGATTGGACTTGTTTCTTCGTTTTCGATCTCTCCACTGCTCAAATTTTGTATAATATTTTTTCCTAATATACGTAGGTACCTCTACCCGGTTCTTCTCTGAAATCATCATAAATGCAGTAGCATGTTCTTTCTATTCTCCCTTTTTGTCCTCCATTCTCTCTTCATATTTTAGCATGTTGGTGGAAAACACCTTTTTTTGATCAAGTACTGAAATTTCGTAGTCCATTTCACTTTTTGCTTGCCTTACAGAAATAGCCCCTTTCACTGCCATAAAATTTTCTTGTTTTTCGTGAGTAGTAGTACTAGAACCTTATCACCTACTTGATAATATATGGTGCGCAGAAAAAGGACACGGATAAGAGAAAGCACATTCAAGACAACACAGCGCTGTGTTGTCTTGAATGTGCATTCTCTTGTCCGTGTCCTTTGTCTGCGTTCCCAAATGTTATCATGCTACCATACCAACAAGCCCAAATCGCCACCCTCATTGACTTATCTCCTCTTTTTAGTGTCCTCCACATTGTTTTATGATGATAGTAGTTTTTTGTTTTTGTTTGGCTCGTTCTAATTCTTGGTGGGCTATTTTGCAAGTTTCTTCTAGCCAGTTCCCACCCAACTTTTCCCTGGTTCACAATTCTTTCAAGATTGTTACTGGGCCTCTGACCGTCCTTATATACAGCATCTCAAAGTGCGAGAATCGTAAACTGGCCTGTGGTTCTTCTCGATATGCAAATGACAATGCAGGCAGATATCTATCCCAGTCCTCAAGCCTTTCTTTACACATCCTTTTTAACATACATACTTTTTAGTGTTCCATTGAACCGCTCCACCAACATGTTGGCCATCGGGTGATATGGTGTAGTTAATTTCTGGTCAATGGACATCAGTCTGTGTTCCTCTCTCATGGTTTCTGAGGTAAAATTCGATCCTCTACCCCTGAGTACCTCTTTTGGTGTACCATATCTTGTGAACATGTTCAACAGAGCCTCTGCTACCTGAATAGTGTCTATGGTTTTGAAAGATACCGCATCAGGGTACCTGGTAGTCTCGTCTATCAACGTCAGAACATATAAATTTCTTTAATCAGACACTGGGTTGATGGGCCCCACAATATCTATAGCCACTCTACAAAAAGGTAGCTCTACAGTCGGCATTTCACTCAGCAGAACCTTACCTACTCTTCCTTTAGAAACTGTCTATATCACTTCACATCGCTCTGCACTCCTTTCCAGAAGAATTCTTCTGCAATCCTCTCTAACGTATTTTCTATGCTCTGGTGACCAGCCATAATACCATCGTGTCCCAACTTCAGCACCGTGTCCTTTAACTCCTCTGGTACCATCAGCTGCATGACTTCTCCTCCTGAGCTGAAAACACATCTACACACCACGCTATTCTGCGTCACAAAATGTGCTACCGTTCTATTCTTTTTTTCTTTTCATAACCTTTCCAACCCTCGCATGCTTGAATAGATGGATCTTTCTCCTGCTTTTAATAGCTGGCGACTACGTGAGAGTGCTGAGGCGCTAGCCGTTGCCACCTCAATTGTAGTGCGGGACTGTGTTCAGCATGCATCGCTTTGCAGAAAGGAAAGCAACTTGTTGTGAAGTTGAGTGTTGTAGGTCACGGGCACCGAGACAGCAAGCGTATTGCCTGCAGAGAGCATCACCTGCTGAAAGCTCGCATCGTCACGTTAACGAAGCAGGCTTCTCACCGCATCTCTTATGATGTGAAGCGGCATGAGTGCAAGTGGCTCAGCACGGTGTGTATGCCAAGTAGGTGAAGGGCTGCACCAACTAGCCAGTAGACGATCGGCTCCTTGCGACTGTACTGCATCCTAAATAACTGTGTTAGTGCTCGCTAAGTGGCAAATCTTAGTACACATTTATCATGAACAGCTGATTTTGTCTGTTTCATCACTATGTCAGTTGCTTTGTTGGCTGCGATCCCTGGACTCTGCAGTAGTTTCAAAATGCTCTTTGGTGTGCTATCGGGCAGTTGTGCGAGAATTTCAAGCGACTGAGGCAGCCCTGAACGTTCCCTGTAGCATAAGCACAGCCTAACTCTTTGAACCAGGCATGCACAACGCTCTTTTTCAGCTAGTTGTGGCACCCCTTCAGGCACAGTATTTAAAACGTTTTGCTAGCGCCACTGGTGCTATATTCTCACCTCTATTTCATAAACATACCCGCTAATCAGCCAACTTGTGTTGCTATTCCTCGACGCATTCATGCCTCAAATAGTCAAACCCTTTCCTCGCGAATGTGCATCCTCGGCATCACATAGCTTGCGCAAATGCCTTTGACAGGAGTCATGGACAAGCTCAGGATGCCATGTCGGTAGATGCTGCTTGTACAGAGCAGAAAGTTGTAGCAGTTTCTCACAACTCTACTCTGACCCATCCTTTCATTAACTGCCTCACCCCAGGCTCTACAGCTGAGGAGGCAGAGGAGACCGCCATTGCCTTTGCCCAACTTGATGCACAGTACGTCTTCACTGATTTAAAAACTGCTCTGTACAGCTATGCTATTAGCGAATACGCCCCCCTTGCCTGGCACTTGTTTAACACCCCCCCATGCAAAATTTACTGTGCATGGTGGAGCTCCAGTGGGTGCCTTCTTATTCAGGGAACCCCGAAAACAAGTGCGCCGATAAATAGGCCAGAGGATTCATTTCACGGGTTCAGAACAGCCTTGATTCGAACTTCTCGAAGGAGCAGTAGCATACTTTTGTAGAGCTTACACAAATACTTCGTTTGAACCGTCGCACTTGCCCTCCTCCAAATCCCTTTTTTACGCCCTCCCAACAAATCTTAAGGAGACTTGCACTGTCTCTTCCCCTCAGCTGCTGTCCCACTAGTGTGGCACTTCCCTTGAATGTTCCCTCTGCAGTGAACCCCACGCCACCCTTTCCCATGTCTTTTTGGCTGCCCTGCTGATCCACAGGGACAGCCTGCCATCTCAAGCTGCAAGGACTGGGAGGTCCTGCTCTCGTCTGGGGACCCGGTGTTGCAGCTTGCTGCGGTGACTCGGCCAACCGATGTCATCGCGGCGAGAGGCATGACCGTGCAGATGTGGCATGGGACTGCGCAGTGGTTCAGAGACCCCGGGGCAGTTCAAACACCCTTGCTAATAAGATTTTTCTGTTTGTCTGTTTGTCATTTCTGAACATTGGCAAAAAAAAAAAAAAAAAAACGCTTCGTGGTGGGCACTTTAGGCATATTTGCTGTGGCACTGTATTCTTTTTCTAGCAGTGATGGCATGCGTAAAAAAATGCAAATATGCACTTGGTGGTTAATGCATGCTAGGTTTTGTACATTGAAGAAGAACGGCTATTCGGGCTAGTTGGTGTTGTCTTCTTTGCCTTCCGTTCCTCGCCTTCCATTCGCCTTTCTGCCGCGCCACGGTGGTCTAGTGGCTAAGGTACTCGGCTGCTGGCCCGCAGGTCGCGGGATCAAATCCCAGCTGGGGCGGCTGCATTTCCAATGGAGGCAGAAATGTTGTAGGCCCATGTACAGGTATTTGGGTGCAGGTTAGAGAACCCCAAGTGGTCGAAATTTCCGGAACCCTTTACTACGGCGTCTCTCATAATCATAAGGTGGTTTTGGGACGTTAAACCCTACAAATAAATCAATCGATCAATCCGTTCGCCTTTCTCTGGGCACTTTCGTGCTTGCACAGCAACCCTCAGTACAATAGGTTTAGTACTTAGTTAGCCATGTTCCTAGCAGGTTCTCGGCATGTATGTACGTATTGACGAGGTTTTATTGTAACGAGCTTTGAATATGTGTGTGTGTGTGTGTGTGTGTGCACGTGTATGTGCAGCTATGAACTCTATGCTGCAGCTCAGTGCAAAATACTTCACTGTTTTAGGTCACTGCCCCTGAACAAAATTTTACTATTGTATATTTTTGTGCTGATTTGGTGGGCTTGCGGCTTCTATATAAATGATTATGTGAAATGAGGAAACAATAAGTAAAATTTAAATTTTTTTCCCCTTTTGTGTGTCATAGAAAGCCCGTGCATGCTCCAAACACAGGTAGCTACTCCAAAAGCAAATCTTTGCTTGTCCCAATGGCTGCTCCAAGATGCCAGAAGGCATTTCCACCACTGTACTCAGCGTTAGTGGTTTGTTGACTCTTTTGTCTGTATTTTGTTGCCCTGTCTTTTAGAATAAACACTTACCAACTAGTTCAGATACCTGTCTTTCTAAAATCACAAGGGCATCATTGTAGAAGCAGCTAGTACAGTGCGTGAAACATGCTTGTGCATAAAGAAGCCATCTTCATCTAAAAAAGAAGTTGTCATTTCTAGACAATGTCGCAACGTCAAGTAGGTGTTCCTTGTTGCAGTTTGCATATGAGACAGTGAAGTGTCATTTGGCATCCTCGTCTTTTGTGTCCGCACCCCCTGCAGGGTGATGCAGCTGTTCCAGCGCCTGCTGACCTTAGGTCTCCAAAACCCTTCCCGGCTGCACCTGGCACAGTCGGTGCTGAGTTGCCTCGAACGGTGTCCACCGGCTCCATCTCTTGCCTCGTCCCTCTGGACAGTGCTGGCCTCCTCCCTGCTCACTTTTCTGCAGTCGGGCCACGAGGTCAACCAGGGCAGTGACCTGGAACCCGACTTCTCAGCCTTGGTGGCGGCCCTCGCCTTTCCCATCCACCATGCACTTCCCCATGTGGGGGCCAAGGTGGGGATCACTCGTTCACTGAGCTGGACATGTTTGATTTATTTGCTCGTGCAAATGTTCAAGCAAATATTAACGTACTTCAATTCACTTTGATTCTGGTTCAACTTGTTAGAAATTTCTAAGTATTGGAAGTGCTGCTCCAATTGCTCCAAACTGCTCCAAAAGAGAAATGCTGCTTCATTCTGCTCTAAAGTGCAATATTTGCTTGTAACTGCTCCGAACTTGCTCCGAAAGGATGTTGGCAAACTAAAAAGAATTAAGTTGAGCAATGGGACCATTGCGTGAGCCTATGCGAAACCAAAAGCAGGCTATTACACTATCATTCTAGTATGCTACTCAGTGGCGTAAATCCAGAAACATTTCAAAGGGTGACACATATCAGGCCATGATGTCCAGTTCGTATTTTTTATATGGTTTGTATTTTTATTTATGTAAGAATTAAATTATGCTTTCAAATAAAGTTTTAAAAAACATTATGTGGTCTAAGCTCGAGCAATTGCATTGTTATATTCAGTCTCTTTTTCACCTTTTTTTTTATTTCCATAGTTCACACAGCTGAGGGGCATTCAACACAGGTATGCTGTAAAAGATAAAAAGCCTTTTAGAAAGTTGATTGTGCTATACTGAACTATACTCAATTATGTCACATGCTAAAGCTAAATCTCAAGTGGGACACTTGCAAGCGGTGTCCCCCCGTGCCCGAACACTAGAAAAGTCTAGACTTTCTAGACCCCCCTCCCCCCCAATGATTTATGCCAACTATACTGCTTGTATACTAGCTGCATACTAGCATATGGCATGTTTAATTAATGATAAATATAAATATTACATGCTTAAGTGATGTTTTAGACTTTAGGAGTCGTTAGGAACATGCAACTGCTCCAAAAACACCAATAGCAACTCAAAGCTATAGCAATTTTTTTCTGCTCCATAATGTGCTCCAAAAAGCAAAATGTCTTTTCCATCACTGCAAAATGAACAAATAAATGTATATTAGTCCACGTGTTACCTCCTGTAAAGGTGGTTTAACCACAGTTCAGGGATGATGTACCGTGAGTACAACCTTCCAAAAAAATCAGCACTGCTGTGAAGCTTTACCTTAAAGTTAAAGGAACATGGTACCCCCACATTGATTCTTTCATTTTTAAGTTTAAAGCTTGTTATGCCAGCTTAAATGCTTTGAGTACAGTAAATTTTAAAATGTGACATTTTATAGGCTACCACTTGTATTCTAGTGAAAGTTTAATCTCACCATTGTTCAAAGTTGCCTCCACTTCCTTTCAACCATATACAATGATATTTGCACATGCCTTCTCTTCATTAAAAAAATAGTGTACAGGTTAGTTGAGTCGTGACAAGTACCTTCATTTGTCTTTATAATATAGGATGTATACTATTTGAATTTCATCCAAAAAAATTTGAGCCAGTCACTGTGTGCTTCAAATGCGTTTCGAACCTAAATTTACTAATGACACTGTCATGATTATCTCGGGAGTGCTTGCATATATCCAAGCACTTTAAGTTGGATGGAATTGGGAGAGAGAGGAGACTGAAGTGGCATGACAAACATTCTTTACCTCAAAACACTTCAAACCATTATCAACCTACTCAAAATTCGCGTAAATCAAACGTGTACACAATAATTTATTGAACGTGGAACCCAAAACTAACATTATTTTAAGTTAGGTTCAACACAAGTCCTAGGCCAGTTTATAGCCACTGTGGCCTCTCTTACTTTATGCAAGTCATTTTCTAAATGAAAGTCCTTACTGTTCGTGATGCCAACCTGTAACTACAATGATGTGTGTTGTCATTGAAGCTCTTGCAGCAGTCACACGGTTTCCATTGGTTAGTCTTTGTTGAGTAAGCTGCTTGGTTTGATTCCTCGTAACCCAGTCGTTGTAGGACATGGTAGGTTAGCCCTACCTGTGTTATTGGCTTCTTTTATGAGCCGTCAGGCCATAAAAGAAGCCAATAACACAGAAGCCAACTGACAACATGGCTCTCTGGAGTCTGCCTTGTGGGGCGCTGCCATCCCGTGAAGAAAGTGCAGAGTGGCAGGTGCACTGGTAACTTCTGTGACAAGGCCCCACAGGTCGCTGGGCATCCACCAAGGTCAGCGGCTGCTTCCCGGATCCCTCATGCTGCTATAGTCAGACTACGTTATAACGAAATTGTAGGGGGAGCCGTAAATACTTTGCTATAACCATTAGGTTGTTATAGATAATATTAATTTTTACAGACAGTTAGCCAGCGAGAGAGAATGTACTCACTACCAATTATCACAGCAACTCGCGGCGCAGAGAAAAACAGCCGTTAGAAGGCAAAAAAACTAGCAAAATAATGAAAAACAATGCACTTTATTTCTGCTAAATTCGGCACACCAGCTGGCAGATCACTTCGAAGAAAAATAGTCCTAATAGACTTTTGCCGACCCTTCGTCATGTGGATTACTGCTCTTTCAGCTGCAGCAGCTATTTAGAGTTCTTCCTTGCCGTCATCGTAACCATCAAAGAAGTGGCGCAGCAGGTTTGTCGCATCCAGTGCTTGCGCGGCCGTCGGTACGCCAGGTTTAGCAAAATTACGTTCCGGGGTGTCGACACATACGTCACTGTCGTCATGCACCCCCGTCAATGCGGGCACGATTTCCGCATTGGCACCGATGTATGTGCAGAAAGTGTCACAGTCAGGCACAACGCCGGCGTCAAGGAGAACGTCTCACGAAATCTGGGCCTGGTCACCTGCAGCAGCCACTGGCAACATTGACAAAATCTTCAGCCACTTTTTTTTTCCTTGATGCCAGGCTCAACGGCTTTCAACATTGTGTACTTCTGCTCAATTGTTAAATTTTTGCGCTTACGTTTGCCGTTAATGCTGTCCATCTCGTGTATAGCGGGGGAAACTGATAAAGGTAGTGTTGCTCTTCCACAGCGAATTGCAGGGAACAAAACCACAATCTTCCGCCGTCCCGGCACGGAGCTGTAGAGAACAAGGAGGTCAAATGGGCGGGTGGGTCATCGAATTCTACAGGAAAGGGGAGGCCGGCTGACACACACGGTCGTGGGTGTTGGCAGGTGGCTCCCCTGAAGTGCAAGGCGCGAATTTTGAATTACTGCAGCCGTGATGAGGCGTAAATCGTGTGCGCTATAAGATATTTAATTGATGTATATCAAAACGATCAGTAAATGCTCATTTTGGGCGAAGAATGCTTCATTATATCCAGTGTGAAAAAATGTTTGCTTCATTAAAACCAGGTTTTAAATACATGAGCCTCTATGTGAAATCTAAGGGGAATTCTAATTGCTTCATTATATCTATTACTTTGTTATATCCCACTTCGTTATTATGAGGTTCTACTACAGACCCGGGCACCTGCTGCTTTTTGCGACCTTCTTCATTTGGTGCTCCACAGGGCTATGCCATCTCTTGCTTGGGTCGAGCGCTACGAACTTTCCACTGACCATTCATGTGCATAGATGTAGCAGTATCATTGACCGTGATTTGCAACCTTTGTGCCTGAAGGTAGGATAAGCAATAACCCGCTTGCGTGAAGGCTACGTAAAGCACGACTGTCACGAAGTCATCCAAATTCGAAACAGATGTCGTACAGTGAGTCTTCTGTTCCACGGACTTTCCAGTGAAATTCAAAAGTGAAGCTAACAGATGCTGTGTATGAATGTTTTCAGTCATTATGTAGATGTAAAGGAAAGAAAATGCGAAATAGCACTGTGGTTGGTTTAGTTTGCTTCCTGTACTTTGTGAGTGTGTAGTGTTTGCATCGAACACACATAAGAAATCACATTCATTGAGGTTCCTGAATAAGGTAGAGTTGTCACACATCTAACCTGAAGACATTGAGAACAGGGCCAATATTAGGGTAATTATAAACTGTGAGGTGTCGATTTGGCGAGCGAGTGCCACGCTCTTGGAGTGAACGGACTCAGCAGATGTGGTCGGTACAAACCAAACAACAACACACATTTATTTAACTAATTTATAACGATGATATCGTCCTCCGAATCGATACATCAATCGTTACGATCAACATGCTAGGACATCCGTACACAATATTCCTTACACTCCATGACAAACACAACAACACGACATACAATAACATGACAAACACAATTACACACCCAAGGCGGCGTCGCCAACGCTTGACTTACCACCAGGGCCCCCGACGTGCAGCACGCGATGCCGCGCACCAGGGACTTACGCTAGAGACAACCCTTCGCGGCAACTGCCACGCGCAGAAGAGACTTGCTCTACTCTCGCCCGCCACCAAAGCTTGACTTCCGGCAGGGGTCACCGCCGGCGCTACACCATGATGATGATGGTAGTAGCAGTGATTACTGCTCGCGAACCAACGCTACCTACCTCCCGGTGGTTGTAGCCTAAAATGCGGCTTTTGGGCGGGACACGTGAACCACGCAGCGCAAACAACTTTACAGGGAGTGTTGGCACCTCCACATCCCCTCAACCTTAATTCAAACCATATTCTGAAAAAGAAAACCGCCACACAAGCTCTAACAAAAAAGAAGTCAACCCACGACCCTTCATAATGCCCGAGCACCACGGCATCGCCACTAGTCGACACTGCTGTACTGTCCGGCTCTAATTCACCTCAGTACCGGTCCCGCAGCAGCAACGTTGCCGTCGGCGCGATGATCTGTCCCTCGTGTCGACATGTCTTCCGGTTGCGACCAGCACTCACGAGGGCGCCAGACTGCAGGCAGTTGCGCAGGTCCCAGGCTTCTGCATCGCCCGACCTTACAACCGCATTTCTGGCCAGCAGCGCTGACGATGTGCAGAAAACAGCCTGCTTTGGATTACAATACTCCCGCTGCGTACATTCCAAAACAATCGACAGAAACAATGAAGTAGGGCCTAGGAAAGGGAGCTTCGGGCTTTTCGGCCACGTGGTATGATGGCCAGCACTTCTAGCTACCGTGATTACTCGAATCTAATGCGCACCTTTTTTTTGGTTAAGCGAGTTCATA